TCAGGGGAAAGGCCCCCCAGACCAACCTGAGAACCTGGGAGGGAGAGCAGTTCTGAGAGATGGGGTCGACTTTACACAGTGAGTTTGGGATGCCCAAGGGTCATCTTAAGTGGGGAAATAGCGCAAGAGATGGGGAGCCAAGGCTCAAGTCATCACTGTGGAACAGAAACAAAGGCCTGGACTTTGTCAGGATGGGCTGGGGAAAAGAATCAAGGATGAGGGGAGGGGGCCTGGCACCCTGTGAAGACCATGGTGGAGCATCAAGAGATGTAGCCAGAGCAGCAACTAGAAACCCAAGAGGAGCAGTCACAGCAGCCAGAGAAGTTTCAGAAGAGGGGGGCGGATCATCCATGATCAGCACCGATCAAGTCAAAGGCAGAGAGGACTGAGAAGCTGAAGGTCAGGGAACTTTACAAAGAAGCTTGAGCAGTGAAGGGGGGGTTAATGGTGGTAGTGGGCTTCCCCAGTGACCATGATATGTAATCAGGTCTGAGTGTGAGCAAGACCGCTGCACAGGGCTGAAGAACTTGTGCACTGCACACTCCAGTGCGCACACCTTTCCACAAAAATGTAACTTGGGATAAGTGGGCACCCCCTGGAGTTTGGTGATATTTTGTGAAGCCTGTTTGTTACTGCAGTGTGGAGACTTCCCACACGGTGGCGCCAAAGACCAACACCATATGTCTCGGGCTTGGCTAAGGCAGGGTAGGGGTCGGTTTGATGAAGATGGTTGGCCTCCAGGTCGTCATCCCACGTGTGGTGGGTATTGCCGGATGCCCAGTGGCTAGGACCTTGCCCACCTCGACGCCCTCCAAATCTCTGTCAGAACAGTTCTAGCAGTAGGAACTCAGAAGTAAACTATGCCCCACACACTGTAGCCTTTGCCAGGGGGCCTGGCCTGAAAGGGTCCCAGGGGAGCAACTCATCCCATGATCTGGGAGAGGCATGGTCATCCCTCCCACTTGTCCCTTAGGAGAAGGGAGTCTCAGGAAGGAAGGAAGAGCGCCTTGCCCAGCCTGAGGGACACAGTCACCCCACTCCACCCCACCAAGGCCCTGCTCACAGGTCCCCCTAGAGGCCAAAGTTGGCTCAGCAGGAACAGTGGCAGAGATGGCCCCACCTGGGGGAGAGAACCCAGGGAAGTCACCTAATGTGCCTGGAGTAGAAGCTTACTCCGACCTGGTGTAGCGGCAGGCCTGGAAATGCCTGAATGCATGGCGTAAGTGGCCATGGTGTCTTTGAAAACGATGACATGTTTATTGAAAAACCATTCTTGGAATAAGTAAATACAAAGAAGAAAATAAAGCCGGGTGAAATTATGCCCAGAGATGATGACCACTGCTGGCACAGGGATGAAACTCCTGACGGCTCTTGGGGGCAGTGGATGCAGGTTTGAGCCAAGGAGGCTCCTACTACTGGAGGACGGACTGGCTTTTCTGGTGCCTTACCCCAGCCCTCTGTGACTACTGTGTTGAGCACTTTGCCCTATTCAGAGATACAAAACCCTCACTCCCTATTATGCCCAACTCTCAGACACACACAGTGGGCAGTAGCTGTGATTGGAGGTGGTCCAGGCTGGGATTGAAGGTGAATGGAGTTGGTGGTAGAACAGGCATACCTGCAGCCCAAGATTTACCCCCTTTCAAGCCTACAACTGCCCCCACCACTCACTGAAGTGCCTTAGCAGAGCATGGTGCCCTGCTCCTACTCTCATTTGACCTCTTGGTAAACCAGTTGACCATCATCACCTCTGAACTGTCTCTAGCCTTGATCCCTCTTTCCTCTGTGCATGTGTCCAACTGCCTTCTGGCTATCTCCTCCTGGATGGCTAGTCCCCAGACCCCTCAGAGGCCACCGGCCCAAACTGACCATATCACCTTCCCATAACCTGCCCCTCCAGGTCTCTCCACATCATTGAAAAATGCCATCATCCACCCATCACCCAGACCCAAAACTCTGGCATGATCTAGAATGCTGGCCTCTCTAGACCTCACATCCCATCAGCCCCCAGACCTCCATTCTACCTCCTGAGCCTCTCTTAAATGTCTCTATCTCTACAGCCCCCATTCTGGCCCAGGCCACCGTGACTTTAGCAGGGAAATGATAGCAGCCACCTTGCTGCCTCTACCTGTCCCCCCTAAACACTGCCTGGATGACCTTTGCAAACCAAAGGCATGACAACAGAATTCCCCAGCTTAAAGCCCAGGCTGTCTATCACCCTCCATACTCTTTAGCTAGTGCCCAAAGCCCGTCACCAGGTGCCCACATCCCCAGCACATACACAATTCTCCCACCACACTTTCTGCTTCCTGCCAGCAAAGGAGGCTGATCCTCCCTACTGCACCTTGAACTCTGCTGTGCTCTCTCCCCAGATACTCCTCTGAAGACCTGCCCATTGCCTGCCTGCCGAAGGAGCCCCAACAAGGGGCTCCTTGTTGGGGCTCCAACTTGCCCTGTCCCTACAAAGCCCTTCCTAACCAGCACACACACATTCTCCCACACAGACTGATGTGCACACAGACACAGTCACAATCACTCGCACTGGTGACATAAGAGGTGTAGAGACTCAGGGGTGATCTGTCCTCATTGACATTGAGCCCCCGAGCTCAGGGACTGGGGGGCCTGACCTCTGTCCCCTTACTCCTGGTACCCCCAGGGCCAAGCATACACGGGGTTCCACGAAAGCTTCCTGAGTGAGTATCTGGTGAATGAATGAATGAATGTGTTCTGAGGTGTGTGACCACAGGCACCTTGGGGGGCAGACTTTTTATTCTGTCCTCTCCCAGCCATGGTGGGGGTGGGGCAGGGTGAGGGAAGCTTCCATTTTTCTGGGTTTTGGGGCTCGAACTGCATTACTTTCAAAAGTGGAACTGGCTGTGCCGTATGTGAGGAACTGGGATTCACTATGGTTCTCACCACCCTCTGCAGTCTATTAGAGGGATTTTTTTTCTCAGAGCAGAGCCTGTCCCTCCAGGAATGAAGACGACGATTCTGGGCTCTGCCCTAGCTCCCAGCCAGCGCCAGGAGAGCCCTATTCAGGGAATGAGCCCGACTCAGAGCCAAACAGATTAGGATTCAGTGAGCTGAGCTGAAGCTCAGATTCCACCCCTTCCTCTGACCACAGAAAGAGGCCTCTGTGAAATGGGTTTCAGCTGAGTCCTTCCTTCCCTGGCTCACTGGTTACTGGGGAGAGGCCTCTGGCACCCCGTGATTCTCAGACACTGTCCCTCCCTCAGGACCCCTGAACAGAGTGGGAGAGGGCCAGGTGAAGCCTCGGTGGTCCTGTCTGCTGGAGGCAGCCCCATCCATGCATCCCTGGTGGGAAAAGGGTGGGGAACCAGGACCAGTCACAGACAAGGACAGTAGGTGGTGATGGGTCCTCAGAAGGGGTGAGTGGGAAGCCAGAGGACACAGGTTTCTTGGAGGAGGTGACATTTGAGCTGTTTTTCAAGTGAATAAGGGAGAGGAGCATCCATGGAGAAGGCAGGCTGGGAGAGGAGGCCAAGGCTAGAGAGGAGGGAGCATGTCCAGGGATCCTCAGGGAGGCTGATGTGGTGGAAACAGAGCAGAAAGGGCTGGCAGGACAGGTGGGAGAAGAGGTCATCTAGGCCACATCTCTTGTGTCTTGGAGGCCCCACAACAGTCTGGATTTACCTTGAGGATGTTGGGGAACCAGTATGACCTCACTTATGATTTAAAAGATCATTCGAGGAAATTCCTTGGCAGTCCAGTGGCTAGGACTCCATGCTCCCACTTCAGAGGGCCTGGGTTTGATCCCTGGTGGGAGAACTAAGATCCCACAAGTAGCACGGCACAGCAAAAAAAAAAAAATTCACTCAAGTTGTTAGGTACAAAGGAGGAGGCAGGAAGGCCAGAAAAGTCCTCATGCAGAAATGTGGCCAGATACCAGACAGAGACTGATTGACTGTGAAGAGCAAGGGCATCATCTGTTAAAAGTGGGAATTTTCTGGAAGTGGAATTCCAGACCAAGAAAGACTTCCTTGGACAGTGCCCTGATAAGCCCCTACAATCACTGCTGCCTCATCAGTGTGTGCATGCATGCGAGCTAAGTCACTTCAGTCATGTCTGACTCTTTGCTACCCCATGGACTGTAGCCCGCCAGGCTCCTCTGTCCATTGGATTCTCCAGGCAAGGATACTGGAGTGGGTTGCCATTTCTTTCTCCAGCAGATCTTCTCAACCCAGGGATTGAACTGTTCTCTTACGTCTCTTGCATTGGCAGGCTTAAAACTCAACATTCAAAAAACTAAGATCATGGCATCCGGTCCCATGTATTTACTTCAAGGAAAATAGATGGGGAAACAATGGAAACAGTGACAGACTTTATTTTCTTGGACTCCAAAATCACTGCAGATGGTGACTACAGCCATGAAATTAAAAGATGCTTGCTCCTTGGAAGAAAAGCTATGACAAACCTAGACAGCATATTAAAAAGCAGAAACATCACTTTGCTGACAAAGGTCCGTCTAATCAAAGCTATGGCTTTTCCAGTAGTTGTGTACGGATGTAAGAGTTGGACCATAAAGAAAGCTGAGTGCCAAAGAGTTGATGCTTTTGAACTGTGATGTTGGAGAAGACTCTTGAGAGTCCTTTGGACTGCAAGGAGATCCGACCAGTCCATTCTAAAGGAAATCAGTCCTGAATATTCATTGGAAAGACGGATGCTGAAGCTGAAGCTCCAATACTTTGGTCACCTGATGTGAAGAACTGACTCACTGGAAAAGAGCCTGATGCTGAGCAAGATTGAAGGCAGGAGGAGAAGGGGATGACAGAGGATGAGATGGTTGGATGGCATCACCGACTCAATGGACATGAGTCTGAGCAAGCTCCAGGAGTTAGTGATGGACAGCCTGGCATGCTACAGCCCATGGGGTCACAAAGAGTTGGACACAACTGAACTGAACTGACTGAGCACTATCTGGGAAGCCCCTGGCAATGGCACCAGGATAACTGTATGCCACTGCCGCCCCAGGGGCCAACATGCTACCCAGCCCTGAGTCCTCAGTGAGTGAGTGTCGAGTGAATTAATAAACAACAGAACAACCTCTGGTAGCAGGAGGAGGGGTGCAGGGAAGGAGTGAATGTGAAACATGTTAAGGGGATAGGATCTATAGGACTAAGAGGCTGAATTGAGGTGGGGTGAGAGAGACGGACGTCAGGGTTCATCCATTTACTCCTTCATTCACTCTCATTCAACAATGGGAATGTTTTGAATTCATGAGCCAGGAACACTGGTGATGAGGAGAGCTGTATCGCCTGAAGAGCTTCGAGACTCACAGTGAGCACACACGAGCACACACGCTTCCTGGTGGTGACACAAAGGCATGAGTCCATAGGACATGGGGACAGAGAGTACCAAGGAGAGGCTGTCTTCAGAGAAGATGGGCAGAGTTTGCCTTGCTGTGAAGATGACTTTACACGTGGGCAGGGACCAACTGGTGCCAGTTTTGAGAGCTCCAGAGAGCCCCAGCCTCGCTCAGGTGGGAGCCTGGGTGGACAGTGGTGCTTCACAGAAATGAGAATCGGGGAAGAAAAGTCCCTCTGGGAAGGTCATGAGATCTGGTGGGTCATCCAGGGGCTCAGAACAGGAGAGAGCTCCACACAGAGGAAGGCTTGAGATGTTCAACAGTGGATGGATGAAGTCCTGCGACTGGATGATATTGTAGGGTGGGGGAAACAGAAAGAAGGACCCAGTCTCTGGAAGCAGTCCCCGGGTCTACTGATACAGAAAAAAGGGTGCTGCAAAGGAAAGCAAAGAAGAGGAGCTGGAGAGGGGGGAGGATGGGGTGACTTGTGTCTCTGGTAAGAGCGGGTGAGGGAAAGGATGTCAGTACCCCTGAGGGCCCCTGCTGCCCCCACCCTGAACCTCTGGATAGTCAAGACCAGCCCTCAGGAGGAGGGGAGGCAGATATTTAGAAATCTCTTAAAATCCCTCAAACCACTTCTGGGTATGACTGTGCAGCCTCTAAAGATGATGGACTACATCATCTGGTGGGAGAGCTTTCAGGGTTGGAGAGGACCAGTGTTATTTTACTGAGGGGAAGGGTGGGGGAGTGGAGCTGACCCTTTGAGTCCAGTGTGAGGTCAGCCATGAGCTCCACCTCAGCCCACTCCAGGGGAGAGCCAGCATTGTAGCCCCTTACTGGAAAAGAGTGGGTTCTGGCCCCCTTGGCCAGCAGGTACCCAGATCTTGCCAGGATCCTCACCCATGCTCCCAGAGTGAGCCTGAGACTCCACAGATGCAGGTGCCCAGGGAGTGGTTAACACGTGGCCTAGCTAAGAGCTCAGACTTACTGGCCAGATGGTGGCAGGAAGGGAAGCCTGCGCCCAGAGCAGGGAAACTGAGGCTGGCAGAGGGGCAAGGCTGAGGGGAGTGTCCAGACCCGGAAGGTGTCTGTCTGAGGAGCAGGCTTCAGGCCTTCCTGTTGCCCTCCCCGAAACTGGCCCTGATCGTTTCTTCCAGCCAACCCAGCAGTGGCAGCTCCAGGACCTGTTTCAGATAGAGGGGTCTTAAAGGTCTCTGGAGCCCACAGGATCTGTGGAGGTACCAGGCAAGCCAGGCTCCCCGTGGCACTAGGTTTGGGGCTCTGCGTAGGAAGGAATGTCTCCTTCCTGCCTTTGCTAATGGTTCTCCGAAAGCCGCCCAATTGCCGTGGATCCCGACCCCAAGCGCTGAGAACTCCCACCGCCCGCGTATTCTCCAGGATCCCTCTCGTCTCCACCCTGCCCTGTCAAGCCCGTGGACGCCGCAGGCCAGCCGCCTGCCAGGTTAGTGGAGAGGGCGGAGCGAGCCGCGGGCGCCTCCAGGGGTGCTAGAGCCGCCGCGGGCGCGCCGGGGGTGGGGCCCAGCCGGCCAGGGGAGGAGCGGGGCGTCTGGGTGGCAGGCGGCGGAGCAGAGGGAGGGGCGGGCACCGGCGGCGGCGACAGCGGCAGCTGCGGCGCGACCTGACCCGGCAGGGACGAGTGCACGGAGAGCGCGAGGTCCGCTCAGCCAGCGCAGCCATGTGAGTGTCCCCGCCGTTTCCGGGGCCCGCGGCCGGGGCGGGGCTCGGGCGCGGCGGTTCTGGTGCCTCCCCTCGTCTGGGGAGTCCCGGATCTGCTGCCCCCGCTGCGGCCCTGTCCCGTGTCGCCCCATCCCCGGGACCCAGGCCCCACGGTGTCGTTCCTACCCTCCTCTCGGGCGCGGAGCTCGGCCACAAAGGCTGCCGCCTCGGGGCCTGACGCACCCGGCGCAGCCGCCTCCCCTCCCACGGCCAGGCCCAGGCGGCCCGTGCCCCGGGACTCTGGGGTGGGCCAGGCCTGAGGGTGGGCCCTAGGCGCCAGCCTGGGTGCTGGCACAGACGCTCACCGGGAGACCCGCTGCCCTCGCCGCGGGAGAAACTGAGCTGGGAATGGGGAGAGGGCCCGGTGGGGCGCAGGCCCGCCTACTAGATGAGCTAATCTCTCTGGCCCCACCGGCTGTACTAAGCCGCTTTGGGGCCCGACCCGAGGTAGCCAATCTGGCCTTGGACTGGACTCTTCGCCCAAATGTGGCGGAGGCTAGAGAGGATCGCCTGGCTCGGTGGGGGAACAGACCCTGTACCTGAAAATGAAAGGCTGGTGTGGGGACTCTGCAAGCAGCCAGGCCTGGACACCCTGCAGAACCGGTTTGGGGAAGGGGCTGCTCACCGCGGCTAGGGGTCTGGGTAAGCCTGGCTTTAGCACCCTCTATTCTCCTCTCCCCGAGACTAGAGTCTGGCCTCAGAGATTGACCCATCTCAGCCAGTTCTGGGCTGCTTTCTAATACAAGTCCGGGTTGGCTGGCCAAGCACCTACTGTGTGCAGTCTAGTATAACAAGAAAGATGGGCCATCTATGGGGCTTGCCCTGGGCCTGTATTGCCCAATTGTCGGCACAGCCTTCTGAGGACGGTTAACAGACAATCTGGCAGATGCAGAAACTGGCCCAGAGAGGTTAAGTAATATTCTGAAGGTCACACAGCTGGTTTGGAGAGAAGTGGGAATTAGACCCAGATCTGAATTATTGCCACTCTACTAACCGCTTCCCTGGCATGGAGGGTAGAGATGGGGTTGGGGGAGAGATGAGAACTGGAGTGTGAGGTACAAAATAGTCCAGGGAGACCGGAGACTTATTTCCCACTTCAGCCTCCCTGTCCTGGGTCCTGTGGGGCAGCAGTTACAGAGGGGTACCTGGAAATGGGTGGGGGTGAGGGGAGCACACAGAGCACCGGGCTAGGTCCTTCCTGGGTGGAAAAGCAGGCAAGGAGGACGTGGCTGAGTCACTGCGGGCCCCTCGCTGGCTGCAGCTCCGACTAGCGCCTCTGCTAGGCCCAGCCCGGGGGAGGCCACAGGCTTCCAGTGCGCCGCCGTCCGGGGAATGTGACCAGCTGACCAGGGAGGGGGCCGGCAGGAAGTGAGGCCACCCGGCCGCCTCCGCCCGGTTCCGGGGTGGGGGGTCCCAGGCCGCACCGCGGCCCCTCTCCCTCCCTGCTCCCGCAGCTGCGGCATGACGTCAGCAACCGGGTTTGGGGCAGTTGCCATGGAGACAGGGGCAGGCTCTGGAGGGACCCCATTCTTCCCAGTTGCCGCCCCTGGCCCGGGTTATTTTTAGCGTCTGTTTACCTCTGTCCTGGGCCGCCCTGCGGTAGGGCGGGGCGGGCTGGGGGACTCCCGGGAAAGCGGCTGGCCTGGCATTCCTCTGAGCTAGGCAGCACAGGTGGCAAGACCTCCTGCCCCACATAAGTGCAGCAGTTTCGGCCTGAAGAGGGGATTGAAGGCTGTGGGATCTGGGGCCACGCAGGCGACCAGAGTTCCTTTCTTAGCTGCTCCAGCTGGCCATGTCACAGGTCCCAACACCCTTGAGACCTGGGTTCTTTCCCATGTCCAGAACAGACTTAAGGGCTGGCAAGAGTCTAGAGAGTCCCCTGACTCTTATCAGCCAGCCCCTCCTCCCGTTGAAGTGGACCCTTTCTCTTAGCTCAAGGGGTTCAGCTTTTCTCCCTGCCCCTGGCAGGGGAGATCCTGCCTAGTCACCCCCTGGAATTGTCACTTAGATTAATATTCTGATGGTCATTTGGACCAGCAGTTACATGTCCTGGTCCCCGTGGCAGAAGCCCAGTCAGAGAAAGAAAATTGATGGGAAGGTCAGCCTCCTCTGAGTCCGGCCCACCCACTCAGTTCCAGACTCCCAGGGATCCCCTGCCGTGTCCTCCGGGGCTGCGGGTGGTGGTGCAGAACTCCAGTTGCTGATACAATCAGAAAGGAAGGAAGGGAAGAGGAAACTGACCATGAGGTAGGGGAGTTGGGGGGACAGAGACTGGAAATGTACCCCTGAAGTAGCTCAGAGCATTCCCAGTTCCATCAGCCCCCAGCTCAGACTCAGTTCCTGCCCACCTCCACTGCTTTGGTGCAGGGCATGGAGGACACTGCAGTGAGCAGAGCAGGCAGGCCTCAGCCACCAGAGCTCACAGTCTGGTTAAAAGACAGACCCTAAAGGAGGACTGACAACAGAATTATGTGACCTCAGGGATCAGAGAGAGGAAGCTATGAGGCGCCTACAAGGAGGAACCAATTGAGGGCAGGCTTCCTGAAGGAAGAGGTAGTAGGGTAAAAGAAAAAAGAGAGGGAGCTGGTCAGGCTGAGAGTAGTGGGAAGGGGGTATACGGTCAATGAGAGCTGCTGCTTATAGGCCTGGAGAGAATTCAGGGCAGCTGGAACAGAATGACCCTGAGGGAGCAGAGGATTGTGAGGGGAGGCGGAAGGTATGTGAGGGGAGGAACAGAGCCTGAAGGTCTTGTGGGTCATGTTAGAGAGTCTGGACTTTATCCTTGGGGTAGGGGGATGCCCATGGATGTTTCACAAGAGTTCGACTAGAGGGATGTGAAAGATACAGAGTCCTGGCCCTACTACTTAACAGCTGGGTCATCTCAGGCAGATTAATAATTGTTAATAACAGCAGTTAATATTTACTGTGTGCTTACAATGAGGTATTGTGTCCACCCCAACTTCCCTACCCCACATGCAATTCTCCCTTCCCCGAAAACTCCCAATAGAGGAAGTATCTCATTTCATTCTCCCAACAGCCCTGAGAGATAGTTGTTATTATTACTGTTGTTATCCTCATTTAACAGATGGATATCTGCAGCCAAGAAAGGTTAGGAAATGTCTTGCCTGAAGTCACACAGCCAGTTAGCCTCAGGTTTCTCATCTGTGAAGTGGGGCTAATAGGACTCACCCCATAGGGTTGTTGTCAGGATTAAATGAGATGATGTTTATTAATTAAGTACAATGCCTGGCATAGAAAGCACTTGATAAAGGACAGTTTTTAGTATTGTCAGGTGACTGGAGTTTCAAGAGGGGTAGTGCTGTTATTGAATGAAGAATAGATCATGGGACTTCCCTGGTGGTCCAGTGGCTAAGATGCCATGCTCCCAATGCAGGGGGCCCAGGTTCGATCCCTGGTCAGGGAACTTAGATCCCACATGTCGCAACTAAAGATTCTGAGTGCTGCAGCTGAGACCCAGTGCAGCCAAATAAATAAAACTAAAAAAAAAAAACCCAAACAAACAAAAAAACAGATCATTGTGGGTTAGCATGGAGACAGGGAATTCATCAGGAAGCTGTTGTAGGATTCTAGGTGAGAACCGGTGATGGCTTGAACTTGAGTTCTAGGTGAGGGGGTGGATGTGATGGGACAGATGCCAGAGATGGCAGGAGTGGGTGACTGAGTAGATGTGTGGGTGGGTAACAGAGACTGAGGCATCCAGGATGATTCTTAGTTTCTGTCTTTAACAACTGGATACATAGATGATGGGCCTGTCATGGAGAGAGAAGGGAGAGTCAGGTTTGAGGAGGAAAGTGGTGACTTTAGTTCCGGGACTTGAAATTCAGCACATCCCTAGTAACCCACTCCAGTTTGTTACTCAGCTTCCGGGAGGCATCAGGCAGGCAGCTGGATGAACAGGCCTGGTACTCAGAAGAATGGTTTGGGCAAGGAAAAGAGAAAGAAGCTGGGAACCTTTAGATGGTATTGAGCTGTGGGAGAGGTGCCCAGTCCATAAGTAGGGAGGAGGATGAGGATCATTCAGGGATGGGGAGAAAGACAGATAACCCTGTGGGAAAATAAGAAGTGCAGCCAGAGAGAGAGGTAGAAAGCCAGGGGTGTGTTGCCTCTTGAAATTCAAGAGAAGGAAAGGCTTGAGGAAGAGGAAGAGAACTGCCCAGTGAAAAACTTTGCTCGGATCAAGCAGGATAAGGACTAAACATTGAACACGCAATTCAGCAATGGGGAAGTCACTGGCAACCGTGTCATCCAGACCAGTCGGGAGTGCAGGGTACAGAAACTGGACAGGGTAGGAAGAAGAGTGGGTGGGTGGGGAGAGGAGGTGGAGGTGGACACACCTCTTCAAGAAACTTGGCTCTGAAAGAGCCAAATAGGGTGAGGGGTGGGGTAGCTGGAAAGAGACTGCGAGTCCACAGAGGGGTCATTTCTTTTTATAGTTGATTTATTTAAAGTTAGCTTTGTATTGAAATAGAATATTCACACAGAAAGGGTACATGCCCTAAGTGGACAGCTCACAATACATTTTCACAAAGGAACACACCCATCCAGGATCAGGAAATAGAACCCAGATTAGGAAACAGAACATAATCAGTACCCTGTCAGCCCCCTTGTGCTCCCTTCCAGTCACTACTCCCCAGGGCTAGTGTCACTGCTATTAATAGTTACTACTATCTATTGACTTCTGCCACCATAGGCTAACTGTTTTTGAACGTCATATCAACTGAACGTCATATCAACTCATACATGTATCCTCTCTTGTGGTCTTGCTTCTTTCATTCAACCTTATGTCTGTAGGGTTCATCCCTGTTGTTGCATGTAGTTGTATATTGTTCATTCTTTTCATTGTATAGCATTCTATTATATCTACCGGTGGGCATTTGGATATTTCCAGGGTTGTTTTCACCTTTTATGTGGGAGTGACTGGAACTTGTTTGAGGTTTGTGGCGAAAGACTGAAACATCTTCCATGGGAAGGGAGAGGGATGGCTAGGACCACACGTGAGGATTTCCCATGTGGGGAACAAGAGCCTGGCTGAGGTTGAGACTTGCTCTTTTCCAGCCCAGCTGCTGTGCCAAGACCTCTGGTGGCTCCCGCTAGTCTGTGTGCAGGTGCAGAGAAGGCAGGGGGTTGGGTTGCCCAGGGTTGGTTTCTGCCAGGTAAGGGAGCAGCCCAGAGTGCCGGGGATATTAGCAGGTGGGCAAGCTGGAGGGGTGGCTGCAGATACAGGCTGGGGAGAAGGCTGTGCCGGGAACGTGGGAGGGAGGTGGCGGGGAGAAAGGAAGCAGAGGCAGCTTGTGAGCTTTGTACAGGGTGATGTCTGTGCAATAACAGTTGCCTCTCCAGTGACTAAAGATTGTTACTTAGTAAATAGTTGAATAAATGAGCTGAGAGCTTCAGGAGGTCTCAGGTAGAAGGCAGGTGAGATGGGGGTGATGGAGAGAGCCTGAAAGTTGTGGTCAGTGTGGTTCTGATTCAGGAAGGGGGCCACTCCAGAGCCAGGTGATGAGGCTGGGGTGTTCCGATGGAGGGTGGCTGCAGGGAGCAGAGAGTGGTGGGCAATCCACAGGAATGGATAGCTGCCAGAGTAGGGGGGCACAGCACTGTCTTCAAGGAGGGAGGGGGAGATAGCACTTCTCAAGATCCTGGGACATCTTGCATCTGAATCTGTATCTGGGGGTGGGGGTGACTGACTGGAAATGCAGATGCCTGGGCCCACCTCAGTCTTTTGGGGAGAAAGTAAGCCCAGGACGGCTGAATGGAGCATCAGGGAGCAGGAGTGTTTACAGGGTAGGGGAGCACCTAGCTCCTCTGAGGGGATGAGATGCCCAGTGGACCCTGGGCATGGTGGCCTCTATCCAGGCAAGAGTTGGATGGGGATAGTCAATGGAGAGATACTGGGAGCAAGAAAGGGTGAACATCAAGGGGATTCAGCCCATGCAAGCTGGGAGCCAGAGGATGGGGCCTCTCTCCTAGGAGGCAATTTCTGCTGGAGAGAAGGTGCTGATCAGCAGTGGGACCTGATCCTTTCCCCACGGCCTGGGGGTGGAGGGAGTCCCTCAGACTAAGCACCACTTTTGTGGGTGGAGGGCTGGGGGTGGTGCACGGTGCTGTGGGACTATCTGCCCCCAGTTCCTTCTCTTCCTTCTGAGGGCAACAGCACATAATATGGGGTTGATCCTGTCGCCCACTTTAAGGTCCGCCCGTCTCAGCCTCAGGGCCGCCTCATGCTCAGTGCCTCTCTGCCATCCTTCCGCACAGTCCCTCCACTCAGCACCCGCAGCCCTTACTTCTGCTCTCTCAGAAGACCTCACATACTCAGAACCCCATCTCTCAGCCCTCTGTACTCAGACTTCTCTCAGCACCCTCCAACAGGCGCTCTATGAGCCCCCTGTATAAACTACACTCAGTTCAGCCCCCACCTTGTTGTCTTCACTCTGTTTATCCCTCCATATACACCGCCACGCTCGACTCCCCTTACCCGCACTCCAGACCCGGCTGAGACGATCCCCATCAGTCCCCAGCCCGAGGGGAACCCCAGTCACCCCTCCCAGAGACCAGGGGGGCCGAGGGCCCGGTGCCCCCCTGATCCGGCCGGTCCCGCCCCATCCCGGCGGGCTGAGTCAGGCGGCAGGAACTGGGCGGGGGGCGGCGCCGGGAGGAGCTGAAGCCAGGATCCAGTCTCTGGGAGCGAGCACGGAGTCCAGCCGGGCCGGCACCAAGGGGCCCTGGGCCGAAGTGGACTCGGGCGGGGGGGGGTAGCGCGGGGACTAGGGGGCTGTCCCGGACCTACCATGAGCGCCAAGAAGAGAGGTAAGACCAGGTCTGGGGCTGCGGAGGCTCCGGGGCTGTCCCAGGGGCGTGCGGGCCGAGTTCTGGGCGCCCGGGGCGCGGGGTTCGCCGAATCTGTGTGGGGCTTTGTCAAGGATCTCTTCCCGCTAAGGTCCGGGCGAAGGCGGCTGTCTGTGACTCAGTTTCCCGATCCGAGTCTCAGGGAAGAGAAGGGGGCGGGGCCCTTCTCGGCACTGCCCCTCACCCTGGGAATCCCCGCGCTCTGGGCGCCTCGGGGCGGGTGGCGGCTGGAGGGGAGCAGCTTCCGCGGGGCGGGCGGGTCTGGGGAGCCCAACCTGCGCAGGCCGGGCCTGCCAGACCGCTCCGCTGGGCTCCAAGCATGCACCCCGCCCCGCCCCGTGACCTCCCGCGGCCTCTCGGGGTGCGGGCGTGGGAGCTCCTGGCCCCACTTGGGGGAGGAGGTCAGGGGCAGGGCTGGGGAGCCCGCCCCACGCCCGGGTAAACAGACGCTTCCGCACATTCTTTGCGTGCCCCTCCCCTTTCCTGCCCCTTCCCAGCCCGGGGAGGGTCCCAGCGCGACCCCCCTTCCTGCCCCGCGCGGCAGGCGGAGCCTGCACCTCTGCAGGAAGTGGGGGCCGAGCCGAGGCCACGCTGAGTCCGAGACCGAGTCAGCCGCGGCCGCCCTGTCATTAGGGCCCAGGCCGGTGCGTTTTGGCCTGCCAGCGGCAAGCGGTGGTGTCCGGTGGGACTGAGAAACAGAGGCTGGGCTGCAGGGAGGGGGCTTCAAGGGCCTGACTGGCACTGGACACCCGCCCTCGCCACCCCCAGGGAGCCCCGCGCGGACTCATTCCATGATGTCCCTGTCGGTGCGGCCGCAGCGCCGCCTGCTCAGCGCCCGGGTCAGTAGGAGCCAGTCCTTCGCAGGCGTCCTCGGCAGCCAGGAGCGGGGGCCCAGGTAGGCAGCAGAGGGGGGCTGACGGGTCCAGAGAGGTTGGCCGGGTGGGAGTGTGCCAGTGAGGGTGTGGGGGAGGACTTCTTGCCTCTTTCTGAGTGCAGTCTCTTCTTCAGGAGCTTCCCGGCCTTCAGTCCCCCGGGGCCCCCACGGAAGCCCCCGGCGCTCTCCCGGGTGTCCAAGATGTTTTCAGTGGCGCACCCGGCCCCCAAGGTCCCACAGCCTGAGCGCCTGGACCTGGTGTACACTGCGCTCAAGCGAGGCCTGACGTAAGCAGTGCCCTCCCAACCCCTTGTCCCAGGATCCCTTCCTGCTAATGGGAACCTTCCCCAGCCTCACTCCCTCTCCTCACTGCCCCTTCCTTGGGCAGATAGAGGCTAAAGAAGTAAGAAAACTCTGTGGTCACCGTTTACCCAGGGCCTATTTGGAAGTGCACCAGCAGGAGCAGGAGAAACTCCAAGGACAGATAAGGGAGTCCAAGAGGAATTCCCGCCTGGTGAGTGAAGAGTTGGCATCCTGTATGTCCTGGATTAAGGCTGTTTGCTTTTGTGGTGTTGGGGGGCTGGGCAGGGCCAGTGCTGGCTAACATCAGGGCTGTTTTCTGGGGTGACGCAGTCCAGGTGTGACTAGAAAAAGGGTATCAGGCAAAACTGATAGGAGGTTTCTCTCTTCCGCCTTCCCAGGCTGCGTGCACTTTCTGCCTGTGACCCAGTGCCTGCCCCCCTGGGAACTTCCAGTGGGGTGGGTCAAACCCTGCTACACGGACAGCAGGAGATTATGTTGAGATTTTGAGGTTGAGGTTTTGGTGGTCCTGAGCGAGAGCCGTGGTTTTTTCCGGGGAGGAGGTCAGGGCTTCGCGGAGAAAGAACCGTTTCTGCTGGGTCTTGGAGAATCAACAGGAGTTCCCTGTCAGGGGGAACCAAGCGTGAGGAGGCACAGAGTGCTCGTCCTAGGGATGGTCGAGCAGTGGGCCAGGGGAAGGGTCTCACAGAAGAGGCAGGGGGAAGAGTGCTGGAGTGGTCCTGAGGACCAGATCTCTGACACCTGTAGAGACCAGGCATGTGAGAGGTAGGCCAGTCCCTGCTTTGACTGGAATGGCTGTGGACTGTGGTGTGAGAGGAGGAAGCCTGGGAGGGAGAGGTGCTGGATGCTCTGGCCAAGTGGGTGCCCCTGCTGGAGTTCTTCCCCTACCTCCTAATGTGCCCCCCCCCCCTTGCAGGGCTTCCTGTATGACCTGGACAAGGTGAGTGTATAGAGAATGGTGTTGGAAGAGGTTGACTCAGAGGTAGGTAAAGGGCCCTGGGCCTCAGGCTTCTAACACACCTTTCCCCCAGCAAGTCAAGTCCATTGAACGCTTCCTGCGACGGCTGGAGTTCCATGCCAGCAAGGTACTCGTGCGGCGTACGTGTGTGTTTGCAGCCTGGGGTGGGGGGTCGGGTGTCACAGGGAGAGTGGGTGATGGGAGGCCCTGGGGGAGGCCCTGAGGGAGCAACCCCAGCAGTGAGTCTCAGTCCCCCTCTGCCACCCCACTCTTCTACCCAGATTGATGAGCTGTATGAGTCATACTGCGTGCAGCGGCGTCTCCGGGACGGCGCCTACAACATGGTCCGTGCCTACAGCACCGGCTCCCCGGGGAGCCGCGAGGCCCGGGACAGCCTGGCCGAGGCTACTCGAGGGCATCGCGAGTACACAGAGGTGAGGGATGTGCTCCCCTGAGGCTGAGGCACAGGGTACAGTAGAGTTGGTGAGCGGGGACTGGGTTTTGACTTCTTCCTGTCGTTTCCACCCCACCCCGCCCCCATCTCTCCGTCCAGAGCATGTGTCTGTTGGAGAGCGAGCTGGAAGCACAGCTGGGGGAGTTCCACCTTCGGATGAAAGGTACCGAGCAGTGAGGCCGACTGGCGGCCAGGGGAGGGAAGTGTGTGCCTGAGACCCCTGGACCCAGCTCATTTCCTTCTCCCCGACTCCCAGGGCTGGCCGGCTTCGCCAGGCTGTGTGTTGGTGACCAATATGAGGTAGGAGGATGGGAAGGGAGGGGCTGGGATGGCAGGGTCGCAACATGGAAGTCTGCTTCATCCTGCCTCTTCCCCTAGATCTACATGAAATATGGGCGTCAGCGCTGGAAACTACGGGGCCGCATAGAGAGCAGTGGAAAGCAGGTGTGGGACAGCGAGGAAACCGTCTTTCTGCCTCTGCTCACGGAATTCCTGTCCATCAAGGTGACGTCTCTGCCCAGGACCATAGGATACCAAGATCCTGTGACTCTGTGACCCATGAACCCTTTGCACCTTCATGACCTTGAGACCCTTAATGCCTGTGACCCCCACCTGTTTCCTTGGCCCTGTGAATGTGTGACCCCTTGACCTTCATGACCCTGTGATTTCCCCATGATCTTCTGACCTGGTGAATATTTGACCCCTGAACTCCCATGAGGCTGTGACCCCGTGACCATAGTGACTACAGATTTGGACCTCTGTGATCCCTGTGCTCCCAGAATGCTTCAAGCCTACATGGATAGCCCCATGACCCTGAGACTGTGCAAGTTCAGACCTCTGATCCCCCACAATCTCATGACCCCTACACCCTTATGACCCCACCATGCATTCTTGGCTACAGGTGACAGAACTGAAGGGCCTGGCCAACCATGTGGTTGTAGGTAGCGTCTCCTGTGAGACCAAGGACCTGTTCGCTGCCTTGCCCCAGGTTGTAGCAGTGGATATTAATGATCTTGGCACCATCAAGCTGAGCTTGGAAGTGACATGGAGGTTGGTGGGGTTGAGGGACTTGGAGAGAGGGCTGGGATTTGTGTCGTCTGCTAACAGCTTCTTTCCTCTCTAGTCCCTTCGACAAGGATGACCAGCCCTCAGCTGCTTCTACTGTCAACAAGGCCTCCACAGTCACCAAGCGCTTCTCCACCTATAGCCAGAGCCCACCAGACACACCCTCGCTTCGGGAACAGGCCTTTTATGTGAGTCACATCCCAGGCTCAGCACCACCTTCCCCAAGAAGAGGTGGTCCTGAAATGTCCTTTCCTCTCTCCCAGAATATGCTGAGGCGGCAGGAGGAGCTGGAGAATGGGACAGCATGGTCCCTGTCATCTGAATCTTCTGATGACTCATCCAGCCCACAGCTCTCAGGCACTGCCCGCCACTCCTCAGCCCCCAGGCCCCTGGTGCAGCAGCCTGAGCCTCTGCCCATCCACGTTGCCTTCCGTAGGGCTGAGACCTCCACTTCTGGGCCCATGGATGAGGAGGGGGCTGTGGCCCCAGCCTTGGCCAATGGGCATGCCCCCTACAGCCGGACTCTGAGCCACATCAGTGAGGCCAGTGTGGACGCCGCCCTGGCTGAGGCCTCAGTGGAGGCTGCAGACCTAGAAAGTCTAGTCCGGGGACCTAGCCCACCTGTGTGCCCAGATCCCACCCATGGGGAGCACCCTGCTCCTGTCTCTCCTGCCCTGGATGCTGGCCATTCTGCCACAAGCCCCACTCTTAGTACAACAGGCCCTGCCCCATCTGCTCACCTAGGCTTGGCTAACAAGACCATAAATTCTAGCTCTCCTGAACTGCCCACCCACACCACTGCAGGCTCCACCTCTAGTGCCATAAGCCCTACCCTTAGTGCTCGAAGCCTCACTCACTCTACCACAGTTTCTACCCACAAGATGGTGGTCTCTATCCTCAGTACCACAGGTCCTACCCCCAGTACCACAGGGCCAGTCCAGACCACCACAAGTCCCACCCACAAACCAGTGCTTTCTACCCTCACTCCTGCAGCTCCTAGCACCAATACTACAGACCCAGTCCAGACCACCACAAGCCTCAGCCACGCTGTCACAAACTTGACACACACTGTCACAAGCGCTACCAACAAGCCCATGGGCTCTACTCTCATTACGGCAGGCCCTACAGCCAGTGCCACAGGTCCAGTGCAGACTACCACTAGCCCCACCCACGCCACCCCAAGCCACACCCACACTACTGTGAGCCCCACCCATACCACAGGCCCCACCCACACTACTGCAAGCCCCACCCACACTACTGCAAGCCCCACCCACACCACCACAGGCCCCACCCACACTACTGCAAGCCCCACCTATACCACCACAGGCCCCACCCATACTACTGCAACCACTACTCCCAAAGCCAAGATGTCAACTAACACCACTACACCCAACACTAAGGACCCAGTCCAGAACACCAGGAGTCCCACCCATTCTGTCACAAGCCCCACTCTTATAACTGTAAGCCCCTCCACTTTTCTAGACTTTGCCAAGCTCTCCAGCTCTTCTGCAAATACAGACCCTCCCGACCTAAGCACTGACCCCCTGTCTGGTAGTTACCTAGCCTCTACTCCTTGCACTCAGGCAGACCCCATAGCCCCCAGCACCTCCCATCCAAGTCCTGCTTGTTCTAGTTGGGAGCCCCTCACAAGCCCTTCTCCGGACCCCCCAGAAGCCATCTGTCAGAGCCCAAGTCTCCCTCCCTCACCCCTAGCCCCTTTGCCCCAGTATCCAGACCCTGGAGTGGCCAGGGCTTCTCCGGCCCCAGTTCCAGGGGCAGCTGGAGGGGCTGGGGACAGGAGGCTGGAAGAGGCTCTGGGGGCCCTGGTGGCTGCCCTGGATGACTATCGTGGCCAGTTTCCCGAGCTGCAGGGCCTGGAGCAGGAGGTGACCCGGCTGGAGAGTCTGCTTATGGTGAGGAGGGCCGGACTGGGCTGCGGTGGTACAGAGAGGGCAGCCATGCAGGGGCAGCAGCTCTGACGCCCTTCAAAACCCCAGCAGAGACAAGGCCTGACTCGGAGCCGGGCCTCCAGTCTCAGCATCACTGTGGAGCACGCCCTGGAGAGCTTCAGCTTCCTCAACGAGGATGAAGATGAAGACAATGACAGTCCTGGGGACAGGTGAGAAGGGCAAGGTGAGGGGGAAGAGGGGAGGTGAGTACCAGGTGAAGGAGAAAGGTGAGAAAGGGGAACAGGTGAGGTGAGGCCAGGTGGACCACATAGAGAGCAGCAAGATGAGAGGTGGGCGGGAGGAGGGGGGCTCCTGGTGGGTGCCTCTGTGTTCACCCCACCCATGTACTCCTTGTGTGTCCTTGGTGCCCATGTTTTCAACCCCATCTGTATCCCCAGTGCTTCTGGCCACCTTCCTCCTCATCCCTGCAGTGTCTGCCTCCCCCGTCGGTCCCTGTCAGCTCCTGAGTCTCCAGCTCCTCCTCTCTTCCTTGGCCTCACCTTGAACCCACGCTATGAACGAGCCCTTTCTGTGCCTCCCTGTGTGTCCTGCGTCCCTCAGCATCAACCTCCTCTGTCTGGATCCCAATCTGCCCAGAGACCCAGGCCCCTTGGCTCTCTGTCCCGGAGTGGCCTTTGCCAACTCCCAGTTGAAGATCTTGCGCGGCCCCTCCTCCCTCTGATGCTGCACAGGTTACGACCCCGTGCCCCGCGCCCCTTGGGCCACAACCTCTTGCAGTCCACTTTGTGTAGGCCATCCCGCCTGCAGCCGTACTCCCGCCCGTCCTGGCCCCAACGATCCTGGCGGTCGTAGCTGGAGGGGGCCCTGGGCAGATGGACTCTGGGCAGACCCCTGCTACCCCGTTAGTCCCAGCCCTTTCCTCCTTCTGGAAATCTTCCATGAACTTGCCCATTGTCTGTTGTTTATGTGTCATCTGTTCTGTTCTGGGATGGGGGGAGCTTAATAAAAATTCACTGGTGACCAGATGATGATGTGTGCTCCTGGGGCGGTTGACCCCATCTTTCTCTCAGGCCCCCAAACAGCCTAGCACCTGGGGCTGAGGACAGCCTCGACTCGCCCAGTGCCCGACCCCTCAGCACAGAGTGTCCAGCTCTGGATGCTGCCTTGATCCAGCACCTGTATCACTGCAGCCGCCTCCTGCTGGTGAGGCTAGTGGTGTTCCCCCGACCCTCCCCTGGTAGCTACTTCCCCCAGGGAGCCCTGCGCCTCACTCATGGCCCTTCACCCCTCCTCTGAGTTCCACTCCCCAATGTCCCAGGGCCTGGCTCTTGCTGAATGGAACACCTCCCACACTCTGGCTCCCCCAAGCCTCTCCCGATGCATGCTGGGACTTGCAGTCCCCGGTCTCCATCCTCTCTAAGCTCTACCTTGAGGTCTGAGCTGTTCTCCAGACCAGGTCACCCCTGTTCTCCAGAAACTGGGCACATTTGGGCCCCTGCGCTGCCAGGAGGCATGGGCCCTGGAGCGGCTACTGCGGGAGGCCCGAGTGCTTGAAGCAGTATGCGAGTTCAGCAGGCGATGGGAAATGCCTGCCACCTCTGCCCAGGAAGGTAAAGGCTGTGTGGGCCCTGGCTCACATGTGTCCCAGAGCTCCCGCCTTGCCCTGCCCCACCTGCACGCCTGTCTCACCACCTGCTTGCTCTGTTGCTGACAGTTTCCTGCATCTCCTCACAGTGGTGCAGTTCTCGGCCTCTCGGCCTGGCTTCCTGACCTTCTGGGACCAATGCACAGAGGGACTCAGCCCTTTCATCTGCCCTGTGGAGCGGGTGCTCCTCACTTTCTGCAATCAGTACAGCGCCCGTCTCTCCCTGCGCCAGCCAGGCTTAGCCGAGGCTGGTGAGTGGGCTGCCGGCCTGCCCCCTCTACCCTCCTTTCTCAGATCCCCAGTGATGGGACCTTAGGGAAAGCCAGGTCAGCCCACACAGACACGCTGAGTTGAGTACTGGGAAGAAATAACAAAGGCACATGCCTCAGCACAAAAGGGCCCAGATCAGACAGGGACTTCCTGGACGTGCACCAGGGATGTGGCACCCTTCCCTCTAATGACCCAGGTCCCTCCACTCCCTGAGACCTGCAACCCTGCTTCCCACAGTGTGCGTCAAGTTCCTGGAGGATGCCCTGGGCCAGAAGCTGCCCCAGAGCCAGGCAGGCCCTGGAGAGCAGCTCACCATCTTCCAGTTCTGGAGTTACATCGAAGCCTTGGACTGCTCCTCCATGGAGGCCTATGTAACCGAGACAGCTGAGGAGGGTGAGGCAGTGGCCCTGGTCCCAAAGTGACCTGGCCCTGTGGGTGGGTCTGAAGGTGTAGATTCAGGACACAAGGGTACAAAAGACCCTACCCTCAGAGGCTCTTTGCCCTGCCACCTTGTTCCAACTGACACCCCTCCCCCACTGCCCAAATTCCTTCTTTCAGTGTTACTGGTGCGGAATCTGAACTCGGATGACCAGGCTGTTGTGCTGAAGGCCCTGAGGTTGGCACCTGAGGGGCGGCTTCAAAGGGATGGACTCCGGGCCCTCAGCTCTCTGCTCGTCCACGGCAACAACAAGGTCATGGCTGCTGTCAGCACTCAGCTCCGTAGCCTGTCGCTGGGCCCCACCTTTAGGGAAAGGGTGAGAGTTGGGCAGGCCTCCCTGGAGGGCGGAGGCTGGGGTCCCACCTGAGTCCCGGGCTGAGTTTGCCCTCCCACCCTTACCCAGGCCCTGCTGTGCTTCCTGGAACAGCTGGAGGACGAGGATGTGCAGACCAGAGTGGCCGGCTGCCTGGCTCTGGGCTGCATCAAGGTGACCCCTGCCGACCTTCCCCGCCCCCCCCCCCCCGCCTCCCCCACCTCCCCTCCCAGCTCCCTGAGCCCTGGGCCCTGAGCCTGCTCCCCTGGGCCCACCTCAGTGCTCTCTCCCCTGGTAGGCTCCAGAAGGCATTGAGCCCCTGGTGTACCTCTGCCAGACGGACACAGAAGCTGTGAGGGAAGCAGCTCAGCAGAGCCTGCAGCAGTGTGGTGAGGCTGGGGATCAGGAGGCACGAGTCTAGTTGAGTTTTAGGACATTTGGCTGCTGGGAGTAGGGGTGAGATGGGGTCAGGGGCGGGAGGGAAGGGTGGAGCTAGGACCACTCCTGACCCCATCCTTATCCATTCCAGGAGAAGAGGGACAGTCTGCCCACCGAAGGCTGGAGGAGTCACTGGATGCCCTGCCCCGCATCTTTGGGCCCGGCAGCATGGCCAGCACAGCATTCTAAACTCCCCACCCAGCGGCCCCCACTGCCCCTTCCCCGCACCTTCAGGGCTTACCAGGCACTGGCAGGGAGGATGAGGGCTGGCTCCAGACATCCCTCCCTCACAGATTCCTATCAATGAAAATCTAATATATTCTCCTGTTGTCCTTGGGGTTGGTGGAGTCAGTGCCACAGTCAAGTGCCTCCCAGCCTCGGCTCAGCACACTTGCCATAGATCAGTGTCCTGGGCCTGGCCGTCCTGCCTCTGCCCTGCCCTTGGTTTTGTATTTTATTTACTGAGTTTTACAGAAAATAATAAAAAAAAAAGCAGAAATGCCTTTCCTACATAGCCTGGACTGGTGCACTCCTAACCTTCTGCTCCAGCATCTCCTGGCTGTGGCCCTGACACTAGTGTGTCCACACTCCAACCGTGACAGTACCATGTGCTTTTGTCCTGGAAATCCAGATGGAAGAAGCCCAGAGGCTGGAACTGGGCTTGGAAAAGAGGGCAGAGGAAGAGGGTGGTGGAGTGTTGCTGAGGAGGCCCGGCCTGCAGGTGGGTGTGCCCTGGGCCAGCAAGCTATGGGACTAGACTGGAGCTAAACTCTGGAGCTGGCCTAGAGAAGGCCCAAAGGGTGCCAGTCCTGGGAATGGCTCCCCAACAGCAGCTGGCTTGGCTGGGAGGCAGAGGAAGGAGGCAGGAAGAGAAGGTGTGGTGGTGGCTGGAGCTTCTGGCCACCAGGGGGCAGCAGAACCCCGTCAGGGAATGCCAGGCTTCTGGGTCTTTACTTCAGCAAAGGCAGCTTCCTACAGAAGGGGCTGTGCCCAAGGAGGTTCTTGAGCGCTGGGTGGGTTGAGAGGAGGTTCTTGCAGAGGGGAGAGCTGGGGCCGGGGAAGCAGGTGACGTGGGTGGCTGCCCTGTGACTCTCTTAACAGTAAGTCCCTCCTGTCCCTGAGCCGCCGCCTCTGTAATAACAAACCTGACTAAACCTTGTGACCTTGCTACAGCTGGCAGGCTCGTGCTGCTCCGGGGAGAGGGCTCACGTGAGTTTATTAACCCCAGAAAGCTAACGAGTTCAGTGGGAGGGACCTGAGGGTAGGGTGGGACTGCAGGATGGCAGGTCTGTTCTTAGGAGGACCGGAGGGAGGCCCACACTCAAGGCTGGAGAAACAGGTCTTGCACCTTCCCCTGTCCCGTCAGAGCTTTCAGTGGCGACAGCGCAGGGGAGGGCCTTCCCCGGTCCCTGAGCCCACTCTGGCGTCCCCGTAGCACAGCAGCGTGACACCCTAGGGACAGTCGGTGTGCCTGCACTCAGGAAGAGCCAATGAGGTGCCAACAGTCCCCCCCAGGGGTGACCCCGATCCCCAGAGAGCTCTGCCCCCCTGTGTTTTAGAGCTGTGTATGAAGAGGTTTGGCTGGGCCTTTAACCACCTGCTGGGGAAGCTAAGCTGAGCAGAAAAAAAACGGTAACAGGAAGGAGCACAGGAAACACCTGTGTGTGGATGCAGGTGGCTCATTCCAGTTGGGTGGGGGTGGGCGCGGGGGTGGGGGCAGGCCGACCGCCCTCAGCACACGAGCTGTATGTTCCCTCTAACTGTGAAGGGCGGTGCGGGAGAGATGGTCAGCTCAGTTTTGGGGGGATGATTGGCTGCAGTGGTAGGGAAAGGCAAACAGTTGATAGAGACCAAGCCAGCACCCAAAGCTGGCCACAGCCTGGGCCTGCTGCAAGGGCCCCTGAAGCAGGGTTGCAGGCCCAGAACCACCGCTAGAGCCCCTCAGGCCTGAGGCCCCACAAGAGCCCCACTGGGAGGACAGAACTGTCCACTGACATCCAAAGTGTGGCCTGTGTGGTGGGGAAAGAGGAAGTGAACACAGGCCTAGCAGGTCCTGGGAAAGTGCAGCAGGGTGACTGGACCAGCAGTAGCTCATGGCTCAACCCACAGGAGAGGACAGGGCCTGGGCAAGAAATGGAGGATGGAAAAACACCCCTGCCAGGGGTCAACAGGTCACTGGAAATTTGAGTGGCCCTACATCTCTAATTTCCAATTCTGGGAAGGGATAGGGCACCTAACTCTGTCCTCTACAAGGAGAGCCCTGAATCCTAAGCCTTGTATTCAACTCTAGGTGAGGGTGGATTGGAGGGTCAGGGTGAGTAGGAGCTAGAATTAGGGCACTGTGAGGTACAGCGGAAGCACTGTCAAGGCCGAGACAGAAAGAGCCTTGGGCCTTTGCCCCATCGAGCCTACCCAGTTCAGAGCAGTGGATCAACCCCAGAACAGCCACCTAACCCCTCTCCATCAGTTACTTAAAGTAGGCTGTACGGCCTCCTACGCTCAGGCCCACATCCATGAGGTGGCGGGGGTGGGGGGCAGGGGAAGCCCTCGTCCTCCCTTCTGCACACCCTGCCCTCCCCCAGCACACACAAACCCTCACAGGTGCTCCCATAGGTCTCCCCGCAGGGCAAGGCTGCTCCCAGCACACCTCCTCCCCTGCTGTCACACAGGTTCGGAGAGGCTCTCACTCTGGCGACTCTGGACAGTTTTGAGCCTGCTGCCTCTGGTGACGGGAGGCTGATGACACCACCAGGAGTCCAATGCACCAGAGCAGGGAAAGCCTGTGCCCAGCTGTCCTGTGGAGCCTGTGCCAGCCTCTGTGAGGGGACAGAAGGAAGTGGGCCTCCAAGGTCTGTGACACCCTGAGAAACGCCCCATCGATCAAGTCTATCAAGGCCGCAGCTATGCCCTGGCCACCACTGCTGGGTCTCTCCCCGTGAGAAACTTATAAGCCCGCGCTGCAGAAAAAGGGACCAGGCTGAGGTAGTCCAGGATGCAGTTTATTGGGTCGGTGGGCACTGGATCCCCCCCCCACACCTCCTTTCCTTTCGCCCTCTTCCAACCTTACCTTTCCTGCAATCTCCTACTCTCCTTCCTCATGTATTCAAATCTTCAGAGGACCAAAAAAAGAAGAAAGAAAAAACATGTTGGTAACGGCAAAGAGGCAGATGGGTTGGCACGTGGGAAGAGAACTGCTTCTTTGTCTCGCCCACAAGCGGGGCTGCCTTCCTTGTGTACTTCTGCCTGGTGTGTGGGCACAATTTGCTGAACCCTGGGCATATGACATGCTCCCCCCACCCCTGGCATCCCTGGAGGACCCTATTTAGGCCATCTTTTGGCCACGGACAGAAGGCTCTTGGCCTGACTGCCGGACCTGGCTCTCCTGGGCCGACGTAATACAGAGGGTGAGCTTGGGAAGAACTCCTAGACCTGTATGAACTGCTAAGGAAAAACATCTATCATTTGGGAAATAAGACTGTCATCGACCTGCAGGAAGGGACCCCTTGTTTCAGAAGGCTGCAATGGGGTGATGGTCACAATTTGAGTTTGCTATCAAGGGTCAAGTCTCATTTCTCTCTGAAGACACCCAGAGCATATTGGATCTGCCAAGAGTATTGACTTGGAGAAGCTGAATAAGCAACTGAATTGCCATGCTAACACTGACGTTTCTAGCTGTTTGCTCTGAATCTCCCTACAACTTTCTCTTCTTCCTCAAGCATCCTCTTACAAACATCACTCCACAGCATTCCATTGTAGGCCCCTTGCTCCTCTCTTTTGAAACATACTCCCTGAACCACCTTATCCATTCCTCTGGCTTCCATCTATATGCTAAGGCTGTATGCCTCATGGCCGTGATTCACATGGCTCTCTCCTCATCTCCTGACCCTCATATCCAACTGCTGACTGGACATCTTTTGAAGAGCATGCTCAAAATCAAACATCTCAACACCTGCTTCTCCTAGACTCTTGGGGTTACCAACTACCCAGGCACTCAAGGCACACAACTGGGCCTCACCCTTGATTCTTGCCCCTGTGCCCTCATCCCAACCATCAGAATCTTCGCAATTCAATGCCCTAAATATTGCTAAGTTCTCTCTGTTTCTCTTCATCATCATTGGCACCACTCAGTTTCCAGACACGTTGACCTCTTTCCTAAACACTAAAACTGCCCCCTCACAGGCTCCCTGCCTCTGGTCTTGCCCTTCTTCCATCCAGTCTCCAAGGTGCAAAGTGATTTCTAAAAACAGACCCATCACTATAGTCTGTTTCTCTTAGGGAAAATTCCAGCCCCCTCAACCTGGCTCACAAAGGCTTTTAAGTGGGTTCCTCTCTCCAGCCCCACTTCTGCCACCTAACTTCTCAATCTGCACTGGACCTCACTGAACCATCCTTGGGGCTTGCTTGCCCTTCTGTGGTACACTCCTCATCTTGCCTTGCTAATGCCTGGTTACCTGATAGGCTTCAACCTGAACATCACAAATTTCCTCAGGAAGCTTCCCTTCCACTGTGCTCCTGTCATAGGAGCATGCGTTTCCCCTAGTACAGTTTTAGGGGAATCACACCCCATTGCAATCACTCGTTTACACCTCCAATATACACATCAGTATTTGATGACTAGTCAGCTAGGTAATGCATACCACCCAAGTCTGGGAAAGATGATTGCTGCCTTCCCTGTAGAGCTTGGTCCAAGTTTTTTGTTTTGTTTTTAAACAGCTTTATTGAGATTTAGTCCGCATACCATACAATTCATCCATTTAAAATGTACAATTCAGTAGCGGCTTTTAGTGTATTTAAGGTTGTGCAATCATCACCAAATCAATTTTAGAGATTTCATCAATCTCAAAAGAAACTCGGCACTCCTTAAGTATCATCCCCAGGATCTCTGCATCCCCTTCCCTTTCCTGCTCCCCAGCCCCCAAGGCAACCACTAATCTACATAGATTCTATAGATTTGCCTGTTCTGGATATTTCTTTCTTCTTTTTTTTGGGGGGGGGGCTGTATCACCTGGCATGTGGGATCTTAGTTCCCTAATTAGGGATTGAACCCATGTCCCCAGTAGTGGAAGTGGGAATTTTAGCCACTGGGAGGTCCCTGAATATTTCTTATAAATGAAATCAGGTTAGGTCTTTCCAACTTACTCAGTTCTAAAATTCACCTGAGAACTTCCCTGGAGATTCAAATTCAGAGACCAAGGAATCTTTATTTTAAACATGTGCTCCAGGCAATTCTCTGTTTAATCAGGCTGCATCTGCCTTTACTGTTCCCAGCAACTAAGGCCAAATACATAGTAAGTGGTCAAGAAATAGCTTTTGATGCATATCTCTAAAACTGAACACAATCTGAAAACACTGTGAATATGAAAGAACAGTGTATGTTTAGTGCAGAAAAAGTCTGGATAAAAACACCCCTCAGAGTCCCCTATGAAATGTAGCTCCTTAGAATGCACTTTTACCACTGGGTTCTCAAATAAGGAATGGAATGGAAGCCTGAGCAGGGGACAATACAGGGAGAGAGAACTGAGGTCAGACGAGTGGAGGAGGCAAGTTGAATTCCCAGGGGCCAGAGGGGGCAGTTAGAAAGGGGCTTGTGGAGTGGCTGAGGAGTTGGGATTTACTCCTAGGACACTGGGGACTCATGCATGGGCTTGAAGTGGGGGAATTTTGTGATCCCATCTGTGGTTTGGAAAGGTTGCTTTGTGTTGAGGGAGGAGGCAGGGAGCAGTGAGGAGCCTGATACTGTGGTCAGAATGAGCCTGATGCTAAGCCAGGCAGGGATAGAGAGGAGGTTAGAGTGAAATGTTCAGAAGGTATGGATGGGATTTGGAGACTGATGGGATGTGGGAGAGGAGAGAATGAAGCTTAGGTTTCTGGCCAGTGTGGTGGATGGATGGGGGTATCTTTCACTGTAAAGGGGGAGCCCTAGCGAGGCAAATGAGGAGGAGAGTGACAAGGCTCCTAACGGTAGCATGGGAGCCATCCAGGAGGAAGTGTCCAGAAAGAAGCTAGACTTGTAGATCTGGGCAAGAAGAGAAATATGTAGGCTAGAGGGAGAAGTTTGAGAGTCATCCTTGCTTCACTGTGAAGTCTTGTATGACCACAGTGATATCTAGTGACTAATCTGTTCCTCCCACACCTGCTAGCCATACCCTCCTTTTACTTGCTTCTCCATCCTTGACTTTTACCTATTAATACTCATGAGGGTTTAGTGTCTCCAGATTAATACAAGACAAAACATGAGGCACTTGAGGGCTAGGGGCATCCTCTCTCTCCAGTAGCACCCTAACCTTGGGCATAGAGCAGTTGATTCAGATGTGTGCATGCTCAGTTGCTTCATCGTTTCTGACTGTTTGTGACCCCATGGACTGCCAGGCTCCTGAGCTGATGGCCATGGTCTTTAATTAATTAATAGGGCTCCTGAGCCACCTGGGAAGCCCTATTCAAGGTTTACTTACAGATTAGTAAGTCGTGATTCCAAATACCTCTTCTATTTACTAAGAGCCTGAAATTTCCACCATTAAAGCCCTCCCTTTGGGTTAAGGCACTGTCCAACTTGTGTGGAGGGGAAGAAACCTTTTTACCTCTAAACAAATCACATAAAATTTGGAGGGGGAGAAAATGAGGGAGCAAAGGGGTCCAGAGCTCACCTGATAGACCTCCCTTCCTTTTCCCCCTCCCAAGGACTCCCTGAGCTAAAGCATCAAGTACAGAAGATCCCTATAAAAATGGAAATGTTACCTAATAGAATGAGGAGCTCAGAGTGGCCAATGAAAGAACAGGAAGAGAGAGGGTGGGGCTGGAAGATCTGAGTACTCATTCTGGTTTTGTCAACAAGTTACTGGACAACTCTGAGCAAGTCACTTCACTTCCAGAGTTAAGGGACGAAACTGTGGCTGGCTCTTCAAAAAGAACTGTGAACATCAATTAACAGGGCAGGCATGAAGGTGTTTTTTAAAATGAAAAGTGAACAGATTTTTTTTTAAAGTGAACATATTAGGTGGATTATTTAAGGGTGATCAATGCACATCTGAAAAATGCAGGTAAGAGCACAGAGAACAAAAGTAACCTACTGCTCAAATGTGAGATGTAGGCCCAAGCAAAATCCTTTAGACTGTAGAGAGCAATAGTTTGAGCTGGGAGGTAAAATAGAATTTTCATAGGGTTCTGAAAAAAGCAGATATCAATAAGGAAACAAATTCTTGTGGTCTGGATAGGAGATGATATAGAAAGGCAGGTCTTTAAAATTTAGGAGAAAGTGGTTGGCCTTGGCAGTTGAGATTGAAAGCTTTCCAAATATCTTTTTTTTTTTTCCTTTTTATTAGTTGGAGGCTAATTACAATATTGTAGTGGTTTTTGCCATACATTGACATGAATCAGCCATGGATTTACATGTGTTCCCCATCCCGATCCCCCCTCCCACCTCCCTCTCCATCCCATCCCTCTGGGTCTTCCCAGTGCACCAGCCCTGAGCACTTGTCTCATGCATCCAGCCTGGGCTGGCGATCTGTTTCACCCTTGATAGTATATTTGTTTCAATGCTATTCTCTCAGAACATCCCACCCTCGCCTTCTCCCACAGAGTCCAAAAGTCTGTTCTGGACATCTGTGTTTCTTTTTCTGTTTTGCATATAGGGTTATCGTTACCATCTGTTTAAATTCCATATATATGCGTTAGTATAATGTATTGGTCTTTATCTTTCTGGCTTACTTCACTCTGTATAATGGGCTCCAGTTTCATCCATCTCATTAGAACTGATTCAAATGAATTCTTTTTAATGGCTGAATAATATTCCATAGTGTATATGTACCACAGCTTCCTTATCCATTTGTCTGCTGATGGGCATCTAGGTTGCTTCCATGTCCTGGCTATTATAAACAGTGCTGTGATGAACATTGGGGTACACGTGTCTCTTTCAGATCTGGTTTCCTCAGTGTGTGAGCCCAAGAGTGGGATTGCTGGGTCATGTGGCAGTTCTATTTCCAGTTTTTTAAGGAATCTCCACACTGTTCTCCACAGTGGCTGTACTAGTTTGCAGTCCCACCAACAGTGTAAGAGGGTTCCCTTTTCTCCACACCCTCTCCATCATTTATTGCTTGTAGACTTTTGGATAGCAGCCATTCTGACTGGCGTGTGATGGTACCTCATTGAGGTTTTGATTTGCATTTCTCTGATAATGAGTGATGTTGAGCATCTTTTCATGTGTTTGTTAGCCAGCTGTATGTCTTCTTTGGAGAAATGTCTGTTTAGATCTTTGGCCTATTTTTGATTGAATAAAAAAATCCAAATATCTTTCAAGGTTTAGTATCGCTACACCCTCATCCGAAAGAATGGGATGACTTACTGTCCCCCCAAAACTCTTGTACCCTCTTATGCCCTTGATTATGGCTCTTCACCTTACATGCCTTACCTTGTTAATGCCTTCTGAGCTTTTGCGTGCCTGTGTGCTCAGTCATGTCTGACTCTTTGCTACCCCATGAACTGTAGCCTGCCAGACTCCTCTGTCCATGGGATTCTCCAGGCAAGAATACTGAAGTAGGTTACCATTTTCTCCTCCAGGGGATCTTCCCAACCCAGGGATCGAACCCACATCTTCTGCATTGGAAAGGCAGGTTCTTTACCACTGAGCCACTGGGGAAGCCCTTCTGATTCTATTAACACCAAGCTGTAACGAGATGCTCCTGGGAAATGATTTGCTCCTTTATGAGTCCATTTCTTCCCATTATCACAGTTATGCATTAATGTGTTTTGGTTTTGTTTTCTAAACTTTAAGAGCAGGAAACACATCTTGGTTCATCTTTGTATTCCCTGTGCCTAGAAAGGGAGCTGAAGACAGTATTCAGTAAATCTTTGTGAACTGGATTATACCTCACACATGTCCTCAGTAGACACAGAGCAATGGGAGTGCTCAGGTGTAGCTTTAGGTCTTATCCCGCAAAGTGGGCAGGAAGAGCCTTGCCCATTTTTACTCAGAAAATCAGCACATCTCTCCTCAATTCATTGAGTCTCTTGCTTAATGAGTTCCCCCCAAATATATAAATGATCACGATTATTGCAAGCTTTACCTGGGGGCAACAGTGGGAGCTAAGGAAGATTTGGAAATAGAATTGTTCTTCTGAGAATAATAGCACAAAATATACTTTCCTCAGAAAGAATGGCTTCCAGATCAAGGAAAGCCTAGTCAGTAAATAAGTCAATTAATTAATCCTATTAATTAATTAAAGACCATGGCCATCAGAAGGCAAATTTGGGAGTGAGGGTAGGTTAACAAGAGCATAAAAAAAAATTACAGTTTATATTTATTGTATGATCATCAGTGCCTTGAACTATGCCTAAAGTTTTACTTGGATTTTCTCATTCAATCCTTACCACTTTGTGAAGAAGTGTTATAGAGAAGAAACCTGCAGTTGAGTTGTTACTAATTCACTTAAGATCACACAGCTAATAAGAAACCAAGACAAGATTCAAATGCCGGACAGCATGACTCCAGCATCTGGAGAGGATGATATTAAACATTTACATTATATAAATTATATCTCAACCTAATTAACTGCTTACTGAAGATTTCTGGTAATATGGCTTCCCAGGAGGCTCTCCTACAGGGGGAGAACATACCTTTTGTCGGCATGTGAGCACCAGTCCACCTCTCAGTTAGTAAAATGTCACTTGGCTTATCCACCAAGCTCCTGTGAACCTGATGAGTCTCTAAGAAAGGAATCCACTCTGGAGGCTGAGGGCCAGGTCTTAGAACTTGGTGACTTCACTACTGCCACGAGGTAAGCTGACAGCCTTCTGCTGATGATGCCCTGAACTCCTGTGGACTACAAACCTGAGATAGTCCATGGGAAGAACACTTTCTTAAATCACTGGGTGGTTTTAAATCACCACAGTTCTCTCTGGGTGATGAAGCCTGGGATAGTACTACAGGCAACAAACTTGTCCTTATTTTTATCATCCCAACCGTTCCCCAGGCTCTCACCATATTACTCTTCTCAGCCTGTTTCTGTCCTGCCTGAAACAGACTATCCTTTTGGACTCGCTTTCCGTCCCTTGATCTTTAGGGCCAACTTCATGCACAAAGTAGGACACATCACCATTTCCTGCAAGAAGAAAACATTTCCTTTTGTTCTTTCCTAGTGATTCTCAGCATTTTCTCAGCCATGTTAGAGCAGCACATGGGATCTTCATCTTCAGAGAGCAGAGAGCAGGCTCCAAGGCCACTTGGACCTCATTCTGGTTTCTAATTGATGCCTCAGAGGTCCTATACTTGTAATGATAGCTGATACAGTGTAAATATTAGTAGTTGTCTTAGTCCGTTTAGGGTGCTATAACAAAATACCACCAACTGGGTGCTTATAAACAGCAGATGTTTACTGTTTACAGTTCTGGAGGCTGGAAAATCTGAGGTCAAAGCACCAACATGGTCACATTCTGGTGAAGACCCTTTTCCTGGTTCACAGCTGGTGCCTTCTGGCTGTGTCCTCACGTGGTGGCAGGGGCTCAGATCTCTATGAAGCCTCTTTTATAAGGCACTAGTCCCATTTCTGAGGGACGTAAGCACCTCCCAAGGTCCCACTTACTAATACCATCATATCTAACATTAGGATTTCCACATAGGAATTTTGGAGAGGACACAAAGATTTAGACCATAGCAGCTATAAAGATAATTGTAAGTACAGCTGAGGTTTTTTTGTCATCTAAATATATTGCTTTATATTTACCTACATTAAAGCTTTAGATGATATTCTTGAAGCTTAAAGATAAGATGGTATGAGGAAAGGTCTTAGAGAAAATGAATTATATTATTACAAGTACTAGAAAAAAAGAAGCTAAGAATTGAAGTGTAAATCAGCTTTGTTTCCAGTACACAGTTCCTAAGTATACCAGGAGCTTTTTGGAGTGGCAGGCTGAAAAAAATACAAAATGCAAATATGCCAGAGATGTCTGGTAATTTTTCTCAAAAAAAGTTTGCCTTTTCTTTATGCCTGAGTCCTCAAGTGTACATGAGATAACTGAAATAATTTGGTTTCTAGAAAAAGGGGTCACATGTAAATTTTCCAAATATTTCACACATTTCTAGAATAGTTAATCACATAAGGCAAGTACCTAAGACTAGGTGTCAGAAAACTTGGGTCCTGATCCTGAGAAATCAAATTATCCCTTTTCTTCACGTCCATACCCACTCAGTTAAACGTTGCTGGAGGAAAACCACACACTGGCCAACTGGTTTAACTTTAAACTCATGGTCAGGACTTCCCTGGCAAGTCCAGTGGTTAAGAGTCCCCACTTCCACTGCAGGGGGTGTGGGTTTGATCCCTCTTAGGGAACTGAGATCCTGAATGCTATGTGACCAAAATAATAATAATGAACTCATAACCACAAACTTCAAATGGGTACCAATACCACCAAGGCAGTCCCACTAGGAAAACTGCAAGCTTGTTTTACCTCTCCCCTGCAGTTGCATCCATCTTCACCCTTGTTACTCTAATTTCCACAGTGGAAGCATCCTGTTCCTATCCAGGGTCAAACCTCCCAGTTTCCTTATATTCTTTCATGAATTTCACCCTGATTTAAGTCAAACAAGGGAATTTCCTGGCGGTCCAGTGGTTAAGACTCAGTGCTTTCACTCCTGTGGGTCTGGGTTCAACCCTGTAAGATCCTGCAAGCCCTGAAGTGTGGCCAGAAGAAAAAAAAAAAGCAAGAAATTTGCTCTGCTGTATCACTCCCAATGACAAATAAACATGCTATAATCCTTTCATCTTGTCATCCTCCCTTGACATCGTATCCTTCCACATTTATCCCTGAATTTCTTTGCTCCTTTTGTAGCTAAACTTCTTTCATGTTTCTATGTGCGCTGTCTCTATTTCCTTACTTTCCTGATCATGCTTTAACCCATTCTGCTGCCTGCTCATTCGCTTCAGTTGTGTAGGACTCTTTGCGACCCTATGGCCTGTAGCCGGTCATGCTCCTCTGTCCATGCGATTCTCCAGGCAAGAATACTGGAGTGGGTTGCCATTTCCTTCTCAGGTCCACCCATTCTAGTCAGGTCCACATCTCTGATTAACCAACATAAATCAAGCCAAACTCACCAGTGATAATCACCAGTGACTTCTAAGGTAGCCAACTCATTCCAATTTTAGTATATGTGCTGCCGAAGCGAGCACCCAAAGTAGCCAATTCAATATAGCCATGTTTCTGGCCCAAGATGACCTCTCAGCATCACTAGACACAGTTAACCATTCCTCTCCTACCTGAGTCCTTCTCTGCCCTTGGATTCCAAATTTAACACTCAGTGGATTTCCTTCTGTCTTCCTGGCGGTTCCTTCTCAAGTCTCTTTCTCCATTACTCTATCTTAAATGCTGGGGTGCCTAGGATTTGGCCGTGGAACTTCTCTTCACTTTCCTTCCAGTCAGGGGTCATATAAACTGACAGCGCTTGTGGGTGGCTTAATCAGCTTATGCAGTTTTAAAACATCTGATACAGTTGCCCACACCTGGAGATTTTACACTAAAAAAAAAAAAAAAAAATCCAGATTTCCTTTAAAAAGAAAAAACAAAATAGGCGTCAGTATTGGGCTAACATTTTCATAATGGAACAGTCAGCTCAATGGAGCAGCAGCTGTTCCCTTGACGCTGGATCCGTTTGTTCCCCCTTCATTCAAGGTAAGGGAATTAAGGATACAGTCCTGAGCCAGATTCGGTTCTCCTCCCGAGTCACCAGAACATCTTCCAGTCAGTCTTCAGGGAACTTTATTGCTGGTTGGGTAGAGCCTGCAGGTGCATCCTCGGGAGGGGGAGGGGCGATCGCACAGTGAGGGGCTAAGGACTCCGCCTACAGAGAGCTTAACAGTTCTTAGGCAAAAACAAGAAACGTACATTTTCAAATACACAATTACACTGCGCCAAATAGAGAGCACCGTTTTGGCAAAAGACTGGTACGATCGTTCGTGTAAAAGCATCAAGTCTGGCCTTCCGCTGGCCTCTCCCGGCTGAAGTGGCCTGGGCACACTAGGAGCAGGCCCTAGCCCTCTTCTCTCACACCCAGTATTAGGAAGCCCTCCTGTAGGGCAGAGAGATCCCCAGGACAGCCCTGCTCGTCTTGGCTCGCGGGGGGAGGATTGTTTCTGAGGACTTCGGAGTGAGAGGGGACCCGCCCGGCCTTACCCGTGGCGGGCTGCCGTGCGGCGCTCGGAGGGCGGGTCCGGCCCGGCTAGGGCGGAGACTAGGGCGGGGCTCCGCCCAAGAACCGCCTCAGCCCCACGGCCTAGTCCCGCGCGCGCTTCCTCCCAACACCCTCCCCCCGCCCCACGTCCTCCCTTTCGGATTCAGGGCGGGAGGCTGCAGCTAAGCAGGTCAACTGGGCCGGGATCCTGGGCCTCCCAGAAGGGACTGCCTCCGCCCAGGAAGCCCCACCCAGCTGGAGCCCGGACGTTAGGCTCCCTAAGAGCCCACGCGCGACCAGTCGAGAGCGCGTGCGGCGTGACGCGACCCGCAGCGCGTCCCGTGACGCCATCGCGCCCGCTTTTGAAAGTTGGCGCCCGGGGCCGCCTCCCATGCTGCCCTGCGCCAACCCCTCCCCTCACCTTTCCTCCCCCGCCCTTCACTCGTCGCCCGGCCGGCCCCCCCACCCGTCCCTTCCCTTATCAGCACCCGCGGCCCCGGCAGCGCCGACGCAGGCGCACTGCACCGCGCCGCCGCCATTTTGTGTCCGAGCCTGTGGAGCGATTAAACCGTGCGCGGAGCTGCTTCTTTGGCGGCAGCGGCGGCGGCGGAAGCCGGTGCGGGTGCGCGGAGCTGGCTGGGGACGCCGGGTGGCCGGAGCGGTGGAGCGGCGGCGGAGCGAGCGCTGCGGGGGGTGTGGCGCGGAGGTAAGGGGGCCCCGGGTGGAGGAGGTTTCGCGGGCCGCCTCTAGGTGTCACGATGGGGCCGCTCCGGTCGGCGCTGGCTGCAGCCCGGCGCCAGCGCCGCCGCCGGGGGGTGTTTGTCTCCCTCTACCGTCCCTGCTGCGGCGCGGCCGCCGCCATTGCCCGTCTCCGCCGAGCCGGGCCGGGCCCCCCTCCCCCCCCCGACCCGCCCGCTAGGCCTCCCTCCTACGGCGCGCTAGGCCTCCGGCGGTGGCAGCGACAGAGGCCCGCGCGCAGGCGACTCCATTTTCCTTCCTTTGTCTCTGCCCTCGAGGCCGGCTCTTGGCCCTGCCGCGGCCCGCCCTCTGCCCTCCACCCCTCCCGCGGCGAGTGGCCTCAGCCGAGAGGCGATCTCTGTGCCCGGTTTTCCGCGACCCCCTCGCTCAAGGGTCCAGACACAGCCACCGCGCGCGCAGCCGAGCCTCCGTGCGGTATGGGTGTCAGGTCCTTGCCGACGCCTCTCCGGCTGCCCATCCTCCAGCCTGCCCCGTCCCCGGAACCTACCCGGCGGCCTGGCGAGCGTCCCCCGCCGCCCGGCTGCTCCGCGGTCGCTCCCAGTCCGCGCGTCGCCGCCGCTGGTCTCCGTCTCCACCGAGTGGCGCAGGCGGCGCTGCTGCGGCTGCGAGTAGAGGGACCCCAGAGCTGCCGAGAGCTCCCTCTGCAAGGCTGGCTGAGCTGCTCGCGCCTCGACGCCGCCTGAGCGGGCGGGGGGACGCGCGCTCGCCGCCCCCGCCGGGCCCCACTGCGCCCCCAAACTAGCGCCGGGCTCCTCGCGCGATCCGACCGGTGCGGTCCCCCACGGTGGGCGGAAAGGACACAAGTTCCCCAACAAGTAGTTTTTTTCTCGACCTAGGGTAGGATTCTCGTTGCATTGATAGCAGCCTGACTTCATGCGCTAAGAGATCGCAAAGGGTTCAAGACTTAATTTCATTCTGATCTCAAGTGACGTGACAGATTCCTGAGTTTGGGATTATGGGTTGGCTAAATTGATTGAGGCAACTCTTGAGTATCTGTCTCGCTTTGAAACTTCCTGACGACGACTTACTACTGTACTTAGTACCTGATGCTTCAGGGTTAGGCGAAGGCAGTTCTGTCGCGGGATTGTGCAACCCGAGCTAAAGCGCCAGTAGGGCAGAATGAATTTGTTCTTGACTCCACTGGTAATTTGCCCATATGCTGAAATATGAGGGTTGGTGTTGTAATTGAATCCTGGGTCACTAGTTGCAGTTGGTTTATAAATATCTACGCCTAATGTAACTACTCTTTAGTAGCTGACTTCCTGTAGCCCTGAGTTCAGCAGTAAGTAAACATTCGTGTATGGAGCGTCTTCCTGCTTTCTTTGAGTTTAGATCAACTAGAAAAGTTAAAATTCCAGGTTCCCTTTAGGCAGTAAAAGAAGTTAAAACAGAGCATGTATGTTAAATTCACTCTGTCCTTAAGTCCTCTTGCATCATTAAAAAGCTTCCTATTGAATTGCCAGGTTTCCCTCCTCCTCCAATATGCTAGCTAGTACCTTAATATAATATCATGCAGCAGTTGCTTTGGAGAGAGGAAAGTCAGTCTTAACTGACGGAGTTAGTTAATCAAGGAGTGGGGAAGGAGAGCAGGGAGGCTATGTTTTTGTTTGTTTGTTTTTTTCCCTTTAACTTACTTTATTTTTTTAATTTATTTTTATTAGTTGGAGGCTAATAAGGGAGGCTATGTTAAATTTATAAGAAAATTAAAACAGCCTGGTGCTAAGCAAAATTGACCTATCTGCTGTGTGTAATCTCTAGAATTTTGCGGCAACTGCCTCCATAGGGAAATCTTTTCAACATTACTTCTTTGAACCCTATAAAATGTTCCTTCTTCCTCTCCAAAACAAGATTGCACTAAGTAACTATATGCAGTAGTGTTGATGGAGGGTCAGTCTTGAGAATAGAACCACACTTAATTGCCTGTTACAGTAGTCCATTTGTATAATTTTTGGCACTGTAATTTTCGTTTTTGCTCTCCTTTTGAAACTGTGGATGGCAGGTGGCATGCTTTACTTCAAATGAGCGCCACACGTGTTAAATCCAGCAGGCCTGTGGTTGAGTCAGGAGGGAAGCTCGTTTTCCCAGGTTAGTGCCGTGCTTCCCGGGCTGCGTTCTGCTGCTTCAGCTGTGCCATACAGAGCCACCAGCTTCTTGGTTTTACACATCATTTATTTTCTTCTAAGCTATCCTTTGAGATTTCCTGTATGCCAGGATTTGTACTTTGTTGTTTATTTGGTTTTGTGGGGTGGTTTTTTTTTTTTTTTTCCATGCCATGAGGCATGCAGGGACCTTAGTTGTGTCTTTTAACCCGTGTCCCCTGCAAGGGGAGTGAGGTGCCTTAACTACCGGACTGCTGGAAGTCTCCTTTGTTTTTATTGGAAAACGAAGTCTACAGAGAGAATAAATTGAGGACCTCAGATTACCCAAAGAAACATCACTAGATGAGAAGGATAACAGGAATGTTTACCTGTATAGGAAAATACTGCTTATTTAAGAGTAGTTGTAAAAGTTATCCTTAATGTGCGTTAAAATCCTAAGAGCTTTAGGATTTTGCTTTAAAGAATATAAAAAAATGAGGGCACCCACCAAGGACTTCTCTGAGTGGCTTGGGGAGTTCCTTACGAGTGACAGAAGCCACCTGTGGCTGACTAGGGTTCTGAGGAGTCCTGTGGTAGAGCTTTGTAAAATGGTGCCTGCTGGCAGAATGTACCTCGAGAAACTGGTTTTTTGCTTCAGGGATGCTACTGGCATCAAATCCACTCCACATTATCTACTTTATAGGCTCTATGTCATTTTTTAAAACCAGAATACGTAGTTGACCATTGTCTAACATATTTATCTATCTTGGTTTCAGATGACTAGAAACGGTTTTGCAAAACATGTAGGTCCCCCTTCAAACAAGTAAGATATATCATGATTTAATGCATTGAGAAAGAACATACAGGTTTAGAAAGAATAGTAATAACAATACATAATTTTAAGGTATGTGGTTCACACATGTGTGAATTTGGCACACCGTATTTATTTTTTAAACGACCCCAGACTTTGTCTAGTTGCTGTGTTCAGCTCTTCCCTGACTGTACCTTTGCATTTTCTCAGTGTTTAGTATTTGAATGCAAAGATGTGGCTATTGAATTTAGACTGCTAATATGTACCCCAAGGATAATGGTTTATTTTCTCAGTTGATCTTATTTTTAGTTACCGTTCCAATTTTTAGGGGCATAAAATTTCATTCCTTTTGAGGCGCCTTAGTGACAATATATGAATCCAATATAAAAGTGTTTCTTGGACTAAATACACTAATTATCTACTTAGGTTGATATAAATTGCCTTTTCAGCAGAGAAGACTTTTCTTTAGCTTCATCCGATAAAGTATCATACTAGTTTTATGAGATGAATTCCTCTTAATTGTACCTCATATACCAGATTCTTCGGAAATGGTTACATTTAGCTCTTTGATTTAAGAGTAGTGTCCGTCCCTGCCCCTGCCATGGAGTTAAGTACCACTCTACCATTGCCTGAAGCTTGACAGTCCATTTATTTTTATTTTAGGGACAGAATTCTTAAGTAGCAATTTGACTTTTAAAAAGTGTTTTGTTATTTGTCTAAGAAAGGTATTTCATTGCTGAGTTTTTAGGACTTTCAAAGGTCAGTGAAAACTCCCTCCATAGTTATTACACTGAAAAATACAGTCTTGAGGTTTAAACTAACTTAATCAGTAAAACCACTACTAAAATAGTAATAGTAATGTGACATTTTAGCAAGTATACTGTTTTTTCCCAATTTTATCTGTTTTCCTCTTGCTTTCATTTTGCTTTTCATACTATGTCTGTATTTGTGTGTATTTGGTGTCCATAAAATGATTTGTGCTTCTGTTTCAGAATGATTACAGACCTGGATCCAAAGAACAAGATGCAGTAGTGGACAGATTGCAGACCAGAGGCTTGAAAGCTGAGTTCTGTTTTCCCTGCTCAAACTGACTTTGCAGCCACGGAGAGGTAAATGCTATTTCCATTTCTTGGTCTTACAAATAGGAGTAATAAAACCTTCCTGGGGTTGGAGGATTTTCTGGATTATTCTTGAGTATAGGAGATACAGGACAGTGGATAATTGAGAGCATATAAGCTTTATATTCAAGGAATACTCCATTTGAAACTCTCTTTGCACTGTCATACACTAGCTGGCTGACACTGGGTAGATTATTTAACCTTTCTACTCCTACAGTTCTTAGTTGTGAGAATAACACCAGTTAATGAGGTTATTATCGGAGTTGATGCGAATGTGTATAAAGCATTAAGTACCATTCTGAGTATCTACATCAAAAGACCCCAGGATATGGTGGCTGCTATTCTGTAGAAATTCTTGAACTGTAGATTTTGACTCTTGACAAATGACCTCAAAAGTCCATGGCTTGTGGCAGTTTGTAATTTTGATAAGGAACAAATGGAATCCTGTGCTTGGAGAAGCTGATGTCCTAGGTAAAAATTGTCTCCCTAAATTTGAGTTAACCTAGCTAACTACCCATGTTTATATCATAGTGTTACAGTCCTTATAAATAATTTTTTGGGGGAAACATTTACAAGGGTCATTTAAAATTTATTTTAGTCTACTATTTCTGTTATGAAATGTAATGAACAGTACAGGATACTTGAAACAGGCCTCTCATAAATGTCAGTGTCTACTAGACTTGGGATCTCATTAACAATAAAGAAGGGTTCTGGGTGTGAAAAATATCTCTTCTCAGGCTACTGGGAAGAAGATCTTTCTTATCCCTAGAAAATGTGAAAATAGTTTAATTGCACTTGTGTAATGGTGAAAAAGAGTGTAGAGGTGAGAATTACAAATACTGAGATTAGATAAGCTTATATGAATGAATCATCTAAGTGACTGCTAAGATTTTTCTTACAAGTTATGCCTGGAGCAAATGGAGGAAGGGAACCGGAGTGAAAGCTCTTCTTGCAACCACCGCTTTCCGTCTGGGCAGTGTGGTGCCTGTAGGTGGGGAGGACAGGCTCTCTGCTGGTGCTCTCTTGCTCCAGGAGTAACCTACGCCCTGCGGCTTCTCTAGTGTTGACAGTAGTGCAAACTAATGAGCTGCTTGAAAAGAGAAACAATACTGATTTGAAAAGCTATTGAGAAAACTAGCCTTAAGAGTTTGGGGAATGGGATTATAAGAACATTTTGATCACTTTTAAGTATTATGGCTAGTTTAATTATTTAGATCCCTGGTTCTCAAACTGGGATATGAATACCCGTAGGGTACAAAGTGGTATGATTCCGGGGTACTTGAAGCCACAAGATAAACATGACTCATCTTCTTGGAGCTTCAGTTGTGCTCACTGAGGGGGCGGTGAGTTAAGTAATTTAACTGGTAAGTAATTATAAATACTTTTACATTAAAACCAATATATATTTTAAGAGAAGAATGTGAACTCGATGACTATCTAAGATAAACAGATCATGGGGCATGAGTGCCTGGAGTAGGAAACCCTGTTTATAGTGAAAACATTTGAGAAGCAGTACTTTTCAGCTGTGTAAGAGCTTTACCATCCAGCTCCTTACTTTGTCCCCTGTAGCATCTACTGTTGAATATAGAAGTTAAACGGTATTAAATGGAGCTTGTTTACTTGCATGCACATTCCTGTATGTGCCCAGCATGCCCAAGAGTTCTGTGCATATTGGT